TGGAACAGAGCAGGGCTCAGCACCATTACCTGTCCCCCCGCGGCACAGGCGGCCACCAGGCCGAACTGCCCCCCCTCCTTCTTCAGCCTGTGGGCAGCGGTGATGACCAGGCGGCAGCCGGTGGCCCCAAAGGGGTGTCCCAGCGACAGGGACCCCCCCCAGGTGTTGAACTTGTCCAGGGGAGGGGCTCCCACCTGCGGGGACACAGAGGGATGTTGTCACCTGGCTGGGAGGGGACCCCTCGACCTCGTCCCAGAGAAGCTGCTCGTGTTGGGATTGGGTAACCCAGAGCTCAGGGGACGTCACTGCTCCTTGCAGGACAGGGCAGAGCCCGGCTGGGCAGTGCCAGGAGGGATCCCAAACATCCCCCAGGGAAAATGAGCTCCACAGGAGGCCCCGGAGATGCTGCCAGGGCTGGAGCCCCTCTGCTCTGGAGCCAGGCTGGGACAGCTGGGGGGGCTCACCTGGAGAAGGGAAGGATCCAGGGAGAGCTCAGAGCCCCTTCCAGAGCCTGGAGGGGCTCCAGGAGAGCTGGAGAGGGACTGGGGACAAGGAATGGAGGGACAGGACACAGGGAATGGCTTCCCACTGCCAGAGGGCAGGGACAGATGGGAGATTGGGAAGGAATTCCCGGCTGGGAGGGTGGGGAGGGGCTGGGCTGGAATTCCCAGGGAAGCTGTGGCTGCCCCTGGATCCCTGGCAGCGTCCAAGGCCAGGTTGGATGGGGCTTGGCCCAAACCATCCTGGGACTGTGAAAATATCCTGCCTTACCTTGGCCTTCCTGCCCATGTAGTTCTGTGCAAACCAGTCCGAATCCATGGCCTTCAGGTTCGCCAGGATCTGGCCCTGCAAGGGAGGGGAGGGTGACGTTAATAAGGACAATGTCAGACTTTGGGGGGGCCTGCAGTCAGTGACAGCATCTGAGCTGAGCTACAGCCCCCAAACAAGCACAGCCAGCTAAAAATGCTTCACAGGATCAGCCCTGTTAATGAATATCAGCTCAACGTTCAGTAGGAACAGAGTCTGTCCAATTAACAAGCCAATTAACAAATACTACAACACACTGCCCAGAGGGGGCCACCACGGGGATCAGGGGGATGGAGCCCCCTGTGCTGTGAGGAAAGGCTGAGAGAACTGGGATTGTCCAGCCTGGAGAAGAGAAGGCTCTTGGGACACCAAACTGTGGCCTTCCAGTGCCTGAAGGAGCCCTCAGGAAAGATGGAGAGGGACAAATACATTTACCAGAGTCTGGAGAGACAGAACACAGGGGAATGGCTTCAAACTGACAGGGGGCAGGGACAGATGGGAGATTGGGAAGGAATTCCTGGCTGGGAGGGTGGGCAGGCCCTGGCACAGGTTGGGCAGAGAAGCTGTGGCTGCCCCTGGATCCCTGGCAGTGCCCAAGGCCAGGTTTGATGGGTCTTGGAGCACCCTGGGCTGGTGGAAGGTGTCCCTGCCCATGGCTGGGGGTGGGAACTGTGTGAGCTTTAAGGTCCCTTCCCACCCAAACCTTTCCATGATTCTATACCCCAGCTCAGTCAGTAGATGATGTGTAGGAGTCTTTTTATTCCCCCCAAAGGTCTTAGGAAAGTAAAATTACTTTTTTACATATTATTTCAGAAGGATCTGCATTCCTTTGGTGACTTCAAGCCACCCTTAAACACGGATTGTGTCCCTATAAAGACGTGACAGAGCTAAAATACACACAGAGCTGCTGTGAGACACAAATGTGGGATCACTCCTGGTGGCATTCCAGCAAGGGCTCAGCAAGAGCTTTCTCTCCCCCCCCCGAGAGGAGATGCCCACAGGAGGCAAGTCCAGACTCAGAGCACTTACAGCAAAGGCCTCGTGGAACTCGAACACGTCGATGTCGTTGAGGGTGAGCCCGGCCCTCTCCAGCACCTTGGGGGTGGCGTAGGTTGGGCTGGAGGAGAGGAGCACACACACGAGCCTTGCCTGAGTGCTTCCCCCTTGTCACAGCCACAGTTCCATCCCCCTTCTCTGCAGGGTTCGTGGCACAGCTCTGCCCATCCCTCTCCCCCACACACCCCCCCACCCAGTCCTGCGGCCCCTGCAATCCACGGTGGGTGTTTCTGCTCCCCCTCCAACCCCTCCCACCCAGCAAGGTGTGAGGGCCCAGGGGCTGCAGCATCTGATGGGACACTCCACAGACAACGTGGCGTGGCTGTGTGAGAGCAGGGGCTGCGAGGGGACGGTCCCCACCACCACCTACCCGAGCAGCAGCTGGTCCTTGGGGTCCTGGGACACGTACACGAAGTCCCTGCGTGGGAGGAACACTCTCAGTGACGGGGAGGGGAGGGGGAAGCCAGAGCAGGCTGCAGGAGGCCACGTGGAGCAGCCCCTCTTACCTCAGGTAGGCCTTGGGTTTGTATCCCATCGCCAGGGCCTTCTCCTCAGACATGAGCAGGATCGCCGACGCTCCGTCCGTCTGCAACGGGCAGGGAAGGTGGATCAGATCCTGAGGGAGCAGCAAACCCTGCCCACAGCAAGCCCAGCAGCACACAGGGAACGGCTTCCCACTGCCACAGGGCAGGGAAAGGTGGGACACTGGGAAGGATTCCCTCCCTGGGAGGGTGGGCAGGCCCTGGCACAGGTTGGGCAGAGAAGCTGTGGCTGCCCCTGGATCCCTGGAAGTGTCCAAGGCCGGGTTTGATGGGTCTTGGAGCACCCTGGGCTGGTGGGAGCTGTCCCTGCCCATGGCAGGGGGTGGCACTGGATGAGCTTTGAGGTCCCTTCCCACCCAACCCATCCTGGGATCCCATGAAGTCCATCCAGGCTAAAGCCACTGACTTTGGAAGTATAACATGGCCAATCCCATCCTGGGACGGAATTCCCACAAGTGCCTGACAAGGATAAACCCTCACCAGGCAGCCACAGAGAAGCAAAACAGGTAAGAGAACCCAAAGCTGCAGGGGTTTGGTTACTGGTTTTGGAATGAAACAACCCTGTCCCCAAATTCACCGGATTATAACTGAGTGCCAAGCTCTGCCTGGCAGATCTGGAAGCGGGGACATCATAAAAAGGGCAGTGCTGGTTCCCAGACGGGAGGCAGAGGGTCAGGAGGACGGTGTTGCCCTCTGGCTGGGGGGGAGAATTACCAGGAATGAGGAGTTGGCTGCTGTCACAGTCCCGTAGGGCTTGACAAAGGCCGGTTTCAGCTTGCCCATCTGCTCCATGGAGGAAGGCCGGATCCCGTTATCCTTGGTGACTGTGTCCTTGCCTGTTGGGGACAGAAAGCATTTTAAACTGTCAAAGTTGGCAGTAAAAGTGAATTTTCACATCAGGATTCCCAAGGGGGAATAAAATAAAAAAAATCAGAAAATTGTGCTTTTTATGACAAGCAGGAAGAGGGAAAAAGGGGAAATCCATTTGTGGCTTCAGGATGTTCACCATGGCTAAAAATGGCACTTTAAAACTGAAGGAACCTCACTTTTTCTCTAAGAACAGCAAAAACAAAGCGCTGAAATTATTTACTACAGGGAAAAACCTACCCCAGGGAAAACCCAGTTGATAAAAGACCTTAAATTTGGGTTAAAAAGCCTAAATGGAGAACTGGGCCTAAATCAGTTCACATTTATGTGCTGAGTTTTGAAGAATTAAGAGCACTGGGAAGAACTAAATATATCCATCTTCATCTATGCCAACTGCTAAATAAACCTGTTAACAGAAAGGACCAATTTTGTAATAAAGACCACGTGGAACTGTGGATCTACATGGAAAATTCCTCCAGGATATCACCTGCCCCAAGTGAACAACAGGTATTGCACCGGCGTGTCCACCTGGGCTGGGGGTGAGGGAGACACTGGGACAGGCACGGAAAGGACAGTTTAAATATTCGTTTAAATATTCTTTAAATACTCTTTTAAATATTCTCCCCAAGCTGTTTCCCCTCCCAGCAGTGAGTGTGTGGGGCCTGGGGAACTGGAGCCCACCCCGTTCCAGCTCTTCCCACCCAGCCCCTGAGTTACCAGCCCAGGGTCTGATCAGGCTTTGTGCCCGTTGTTAACATTCAGCAATGTGAACACGTCAGCACTCTGGGGTGGGTGCACAGGGGGGGTTCTCCTGCCTGGCTGGAAGGGCAGGGGGATTCTCAGCCCAACCAATCTGGCCTTCCTTGCTCTGTCACCACACCAGCACACACACACGTGGGGAGGGCAAGGCAAGAGTGAGGTGTGTAAAAACACGACAGGGGGCAGGGTCAGGCGGGATACTGGGAAGAAATTCCTCCCTGTGAGGGTGGTGAGGACCAGTTAAAAGGGCAACCTGTGCCAGGGCCTCACCACCCTCCTGCAGCTGTGGCTGCCCCTGGATCCCTGGAAGTGTTCCAGGCCAGGCAGGACGGGGCTTGGAGCACCCTGGGCTGGTGGGAGGTGTCCCTACCCATGGCAGGGGGTGGGATGAGATGGGGATTTAAGGTCCCTTCCCACCCAACCCAGTCTGGGACTCTGTGCTTACACATCGAGACGCGCCTGTCTGCAGACACACCAGCGGCTTTCCAGGGACAACCAGAGGTAAACCCCACAGAGAGCCCCATGATAACCCCCCCAGCAGCGTGTGACACGAGCAGTGTTACCTGGCACCTTGAAGGGCACCACGTCCAGCAGCAGCCCCTCGTCCTGGGCCTTCTTGGCCAGCGTGTGGGAGCGCAGGGCGTACTCGTCCTGCTCCAGGCGTGACACGCCAAAGGCGGCGGCCAGGCGGTCGGCTGAGTGCCCCATGGTCTCGCTGGTGGAGAACTCTGCCACGGCAGGGAGCTGGGGACAGCGAGGCGAGGTCAGCACAGCTGAAATCTCCCCCGGGGAAGCACCCAAAGCTCAGCCCTTCCCTGTTAACGCAGAGCCGCGCGATTAACGCGCAACAACCGCACCAGAAGAGACCGGGCTGGACCTGTCAGAGGAACCATCACCCTCCAAGATTTTAGGGGAAAAAAACGAGGTCCAGCCTGCTGCTCACTGCAGGGGTTGCAGGGCTGTGGAGCAGCTGAACAAGCAGAGAGTGCAGAGAGCTTAACAGGGAACCCAAGACAAAAGGGGGCCCAGACTTCTTGGGTTCAGCTGAAACAACACGCCCTGGGACCCTGAAACTCCTCGTGAGACGCTTCCTCACCCCAAACCAGAGCCAAGAGGTTTTGTTTTTTTTTAGTTTTCTATTCTTGCAGCAGCACACAGGAAATCCCTGCGTGCACTTAAGTGTGTGGTTTTCGTATCTTGTGTGGATTTGGGATCTCACACTCATACACTGAGGATATTCCACTCTGATATTGAGGTGGTTCCTTCTGCTATCCCGGAAAATTCTTCTGACCCCAAAATTCTTCTGATGCTTCAGGACCCTTGAATAAGCTTTATGGGAGAAAACTTCTCTGTCATTTCAGCACAGTTTGTCCAGGAGTTGCAGAAGGAGAGGGAACTTTTGCACCAAGCTGGGTTTACTGAAGCTGAACACGTGAGAAGAAAAAGCAGAGTCCCAAATGCTGTGAGATGTGCTAATCAACTGTTTTAACCCACAGCAGAGGACAGAGATTGATCATAGTGAGCTCCAGACACCTCACCCTTCTTAAATCCTCTCCACTGAGGCTAAAAAAATTACCTGAGCCACCTTCCCCTAAAACAGTTTAGCTAAACACCTAAATGCCTGGAAAAAAAAAAAGGAAAAATAAAAAATAAAAAGAAAAAATACCTCAGGAGCGAAGTAGTCAGGGCGAATTTTGGAAATCAGGGAGAGCTTCTGGCCCAAGGTCTTGGCCCTGTTGAGGGTCAGCATCGTCTTCCTCATCTTCCTGCTGTGCCGGATGGGAACGTCCGACATGAGCTCCACCCCTCCGGCCACCACCACGTCGCACTGCCCCGCCGCGATCATCCCCACGCCTGTGGGACGACAGGGGCTCCCAGGAGAGCTGCAGGGACACACTCTGGGAGCCCTGGGCAACCCTGCACACTCCAGCTCCTTCCCCAGGATCCAGGAGTGCTCAGCAGGCACTTTCTGATCCGCTCTGCAGCTCGGCCTCCACCGCTCCTTGTCCCACCCAGCAGCGGGGGGAGAGAATTCACGCTGTGCTTGGATGGTTAAAAAGCTTGAACAGAATCCCAGGACCATTGGGATCACTGGGAGGATGGAAAAGCCCAGTGATCCCCCCCGTGTCCCATCCCCACCCTGTCCCCCAGCCCAGAGCACTGAGTGCCACGGCCAGGCCTGCCTGGGACACCTCCAGGGCTGGGCACTCCAAACCTCCCTGGGCAGCCCCTGCCAGGGCCTGACCACCCTTTCCAGGGACAAATTCCTCCTGCTGTCCCCCCTGCCCCTCCCCTGGCACAGCTGGAGGCCGTTCCCTCTCCTCC